CCCCCGAAAGTTCCATCGCCCTCGTTACATCGACCAGTAAACGGGACAGAAGCTCCGCAGCTGCTAACTCTAGCCTTGGCACCGAAACAGTTTTCATCGGTGCGACACGTGACTTAGATACTAGTAGTGTGCTCTTTACCTCCATGCCGTCGTTCTCAACACGTACATAAATCGCCGCACCATATGCCACCGTTGACGCATCTGAGAACCCGTGCAATTCAACCTTTCCACCACCACCCGTGCCAATCCATCTCTCTCGATTACCCACACACACACGCATGCATAAGCTCGTAATCAATAAACCGTTTGCTCACGTCGCACGAATCTTGTACGCTGCCGCAACCGCATCACAATACGTATAATATACGCAAAACCACCACCATCTCACGCAAATGCGCTCAAGCAGCATGCATGCATGTATGCATAGTACACACAGTGCAATGCCACAAGCAAACAGCGATGAAAAGACACACATGCGCGCACGTACGTAAATAAGTACGCATCCCAGCAACTCACTCGCTCCGTCAAAAGGAAAAATACAATTTTGTTAATTACGAGTACATGCATTTATTTAATTGCTAGTTCCTTTATCCGGCTTTGATCCGGCTCTACATGGACCAATGTTTTGTACTAGGATAGCCAAGGCTAAACTCAATGCACCCAAATCAGCTAACCGATAATAAAAAAGGACCACTCTTCTCTCTGCACTTCGATAGACTCCCTGACAACCCATGGGCTGCCACACTTCTTTATTTTAAAGTATTTTGCTCATGCAACTCGCAGGTTGCCAGATTTATATATTTAAATTCTTAACGCCTATATTTTTAAGCAACTCGCAGGCTGCCAGATTTGTAATAAATTCAATACTTAACAAATGTATCCTGATCGCGTTCTAAATCCTCACTTGTTTCAGTTATTTCGTATGGCATTGGGACTGCGATGGGGTATAGTCGTTGCGCTGGGTATGCAGTTACAGTTGCATGGCTATACTCAATCCCGACTCTTGCGTCCTTGTTCGCGCACTCTGGGCAACGTGAGCAACCCATGTGCGAGATGCGGTAACCAATCCGAGTGGAGCCTTGGGTCACGGCAGAAAGAGAGGGAGCTTCGGTGGGGCCACTCCGACTTATTCGGTTTAAGGGCTCACTGAAGTCTGCAGCGTCTGTTCACCAGTAGGTGCGGCTGCAAGCGGGTGTCTGCTTGGAGCAAGCGGCTCGCTATATAAACGTGTATATGGTTGCGAAACCACCCCCGTCCCAGCAATGGGTTGTGCGCTGGGCTTGGGACCCGCCACGTAAAAACCACTTCCAGTGAAGAAGCAAGGCAAAGCCTCGGATGAGACCCCCCCTTATGATGACGACCACGGCAAACGTTTAAAGGACTACGATTTGGGGGCATGCACCTGGAATGTCCGGACCCTTAATGGGGAAGGTGCCTCTGCCCGGCTGGTTGATGTCCTCGTAAGGACAAAAGCTGACATCACCGCCATCCAAGAAATGCGTTGGACGGGGCAAGGCAAGCAATGTCTGGGGCCTTGCGACGTCTACTACAGCTGCCATGTAAAGCAGCGCAAATGCGGTGTTGGATTTGTGGTGGGAGAGAGACTCCGTTGCCGAGTACTGTCGTTCACCCCGGTGGACGAGCGTCTAGCCACAATACGCGTCAAAGCGAGATTCTTCAACATCTCGCTCATCTGCGCTCATGCCCCGACGGAAGAGAAGGATGAGGCATCCAAGGATCTCTTCTATGAGCGCTTGGAGCGCACATACGAGCGCTGCCCCCGTCATGATATCAAAATCGTGCTTGGCGACTTCAATGTCAGGGTGGGCAAGGAAGGGATCTTTGGAACCACCGTCGGAAAATTCAGCCTCCACGACGAAACGTCCGACAACGGATTGAGGCTGATCGACTTCGCCGGGACCCGAAACATGGTAGTATGCAGTACTA